ATTCCCCTTTTATGACAGCGAGAGTAGACAAAACCAAAGCTGAGGTATAGGCACAGTGTTGCTTTATTGCAGGGGTGGGGAATCTACAGCCTATGGGCAGGATCTGGTCCTTAGTTAAGTTGGATCCAGCCCACGTGCGCCTCAGGTCTTACCCCTGCCAGCGGGGTGAGCCAATTTTTGTGCTTTAGCCTCAAAGCAAGTCTGCAGGTCTTTCTACCCCCACAAGGCTGGAGTAAAAGGTTGGAAGCCATGTCAATAATTTTTTTTTGGCTTTGTTTTGTGGCTTTGCATGTCACTTGTGTATGACTCGCGATTGGTTTTCCTGTGAGTCAGTAGTCCTTGATTTAAAACAAACAGAAAAAAAAAAGGTTCTCCTTCGAGTGGTGTCCTGTGGGTGCTCCACTCAGGTCTCGGTGTGTCCTTGTGCCACTGATTGGAGATTTTGCCTAGCAGTGCCTTCCCATGCCGCACATGCACAGTTGCCATCTCATGCTGTTTTCATCAGTTAGGAGCGCGCACGGCATGACCTTCCTTCAGTTCCTTTTCTACCATCCTCAGTTGAAAACAGAGTCACAGCAGTGCTTTCCTTTGACAGAAAATAAAAAAAAACTATGTAGTTATTTACAAGTCATTAATAGTTTGTTAGTTTATAGTTAGTTTTACCTCATTCTTAATTTAAGAAAAAAAAATGCTTCCCCGTTGTTTTTTTTCCTCTCTACTCCATTTTTCTTCAAGTTCTGAATCATCACATTCGTTCAACATGCCAGGCTCTCCTGGCTTCAAGAAATGCGATTCATGTAGGGACTCTATGCTGGTTTCTGATGCATACATCCTGCATTAAATGCTCAGGCAAAAGCCACATAGCGCAAAAGTGCCCACGTTGTCAAAACATCATGGCCAGAGTGAGGAAAGACAACAAAATGAGGCTGAAGAATCTCCTCTGAGAGAAATCCCATTTCACCCATCAGCCCTCTCCCATTGGTCTTTAGGGACCCCGCCCTCTGCCACGTCCTGTCCTTCCGCCAGCAGGTACAGCTGCAGCTGCTGCCAGCGGCGCATGGCGGGGTGGCACTAGAGGGGTTCTTCATGGTGCCCTTCCAGGGAACCCTCTAGCAGGTCCACTATTCAATGGGAGAGGCCCGGTGCTTCCTCTGCCGGGCGATGGGGCATGTCCAGAAGGACTGTCCCTTGGCCCGGTTGGAGGAGGCCTCCAGGAGCTGGGATGGCGCCGGCCCTAACACCGCCGGCCCTCCTGGTAGTCCGGTTTCCGTGGCTGCACCTTCTGTGACCAATGGCTCTGCCCAGGGGCCGGAGGCGCTCCCTCCGGCGTACCCAAGTGAGCAGGCGGGCCCCACTTCTATTCCATCAGTCTCTGTGGGCCCGAGGAGGAGAGGGTGGCACAGTTGCTGCCGGGTGAGGGAAGGGGCTCCCCCCAGGTGGAGGTTTCCCTGCCCTCTTCTTTCCCTCCCCTGCCTCAACATTCCCTCTGAAGAACAACTGCGCCCCCTGGCCTTGCCCCTGCTGACCAGCCCTCCACCTCCATCTCGGAGGTCTGGAAGCTCATCCAGGGGAAGTGCAGAGCCCGCCATTTGTGGGCTCAATCTCCCCGCTCCAAAAGATCCTGCAGGGGGCCAGCCTGGTGAGCGCCAGCAGGAGGCGCCGGCCGAAGATGCCATGGCAGCGAGGGGGGACGGTGTCCACCCCCCTGCAGAGCCCATCTGTGAGGAGGCCTCGGGTGAACGTCCCCCCGC